AGGTCCCGTATTATCCCCATATTACTTGTGAAAATACACACTGATCATTTGGAAAGGGACTGTGGTCACATACATTCCATACATTTATAGCACCTGGGTTTTCCCCAAAGAATCCCAGAAACTGTAGTTTGTTAAGGATGCTAGGAAGTGTAGCTCTGTGAGGAGTGAACTACAGTTCCCAGTATTCTTCAGCTACCTTATCCTGACACTGCCTCTCACTTCTTTAAGCTGGTGTGCACATTTGTCCACCAGGATGGACTAAATTATAGCAGTATATTTGAAGAAGAAGAAGAAGAAGAAGAAGAAGAAGAAGAAGAAGAAGAAGAGGAGTTTGGATTTGATATCCCGCCTTTCACTCCCTTTAAGGAGTCTCAAAGCGGCTAACATTCTCCTTTCCCTTCCTCCCCCACAACAAACACTCTGTGAGGTGAGTGGGGCTGAGAGACTTCAAAGAAGTGTGACTGGCCCAAGGTCACCCAGCAGCTGCATGTGGAGGTGCGGAGACGCGAACCCGGTTCCCCAGATTACGAGACTACCACTCTTAACCACTACACCACACTGGCTCTGATTGGACTTGGGCTGCAATCCTATGCACAATTACCTGGGAGCACACCTCAATGGATTCAGTAGGGTTTACAGCCAAAAAAACAGCAGAAGAAGAATGAAGGTACTGCACAGTCAAGGAGAACCTGGCTAATGTTCAAGAGAGCAAGATGCAAACACACTGCTCCTTGCATTCTTTTTATTGATTTTTACAGAATTGGCTCTCTGCATACCTGGTAACTGACTAACAAAGAAACCCAGAGCTCTCATTTGTTGGCAGGTCATATCCAACATTTGGACACTGAGGATAATGGAATACGCGTTTTATTTATATAAAACCATTCATTCCTTAATGGCATTTCATTTCAAAGCAGATATCTCCAAGCAGCTTACAGCAATAAAGTAACACTACCACCACAACATTGCAATAAAACAACACAACAAAACAACTCATCATCAACATAATCCGGGGATAACAGCAGGCAGGAAATACCTGGCCAATGAGACGTATTTGTTATGAACAGCAAAAACAAGAGGGGAGGACGTTCTATGATGTAGGCACCACCACAGAGAAGGCCCGTTGCTTCCTCAGGTCATTACACAAATTTTGCCACACATGAGTTCCTATATTTAGATGATGAGGTGACAATCCTATGTGATTAAAACCTGGGACTGAGCTAAATTGGTAAAGAAAAGGTGTTTTATATGTGTTATATCAGCATTATAACACTGTGACACCAGATGGCATTGTGGAGTTCCGTTTTTGCCAACGCAATTTCTCATATAGTGGTACCTCAGGTTAAGTACTTAATTCATTCCGGAGGTCCGTACTTAACCTGAAACTGTTCTTAACCTGAAGCACTACTTTAGCTAATGAGGCCTCCTGCTGCCGCTGTGCCGCCGGAGCACGATTTCTGTTCTCATCCTGAAGCAAAGTTCTTAACCTGAAGCACTATTTCTGGGTTGGCGGAGTCTGTAACCTGAAGCGTATGTAACCTGAAGCATATGTAACCTAAGGTACCACTGTACAAAGTTTGCAACGCGTTTTCCTGAAGCGCTTCTTTGATGTGTCTAGATCCAGCCCTGCTCTAACTTTACCTCTGTATTGTCCCTGAAATACAGGGAAGTGTCTAGCATAGCCCGAGTGTGTTGAAGATTAAGAGGGCCAGGGGTTTGGGTGCAGACCACTGAAACTCTGAAGCCACCCAATGGAATCTGGCCCAATCAAGATCCTTTTCCCACGTGGACGAGCTCCGCTTGCATACATCAGTATGCATGGAGAGCCCTTCCCCATGCTGTCTCAATGGGGAAACACTGGGAAGTGTTTGTGGCTGCATACAGAGTTCCGTTTCCTCTGTGCTCAGTGAGCTCCTATTGCTGGTTTGGGAAGCAGTGTACACATGATGTTAGCCACAATTCGTATCTGTCCTTTTATTTGCTTATGAAATATTGTATTTCGATGCACCCCACCCCAAAACAACAACAACAACACCCAGCTTTGATCTGAATTGAGAAACAGAATGGCTTTCTGTTTCTTAAAGCATTGCTGTGCTTTAAGTCAGTAGAATCATAGAATCATAGAATCATAGAGTTGGAAGAGACCACAAGGGCCATCGAGTCCAACCCCCTGCCGAGCAGGAAACACCATCAGAGCACTCCTGACATATGGTTGTCAAGCCTCTGCTTAAAGACCTGCAAAGAAGGAGACTCCACCACACTCCTTGGCAGCAAATTCCACTGTCAAACAGCTCTTACTGTCAGGAAGTTCTTCCTAATGTTTAGGTGGAATCTTCTTTCTTGTAGTTTGGATCCATTGCTCCGTGTCCGCTTCTCTGGAGCAGCAGAAAACAACCTTTCTCCCTCCTCTATGTGACATCCTTTTATATATTTGAACATGGCTATCATATCACCCCTTAACCTCCTCTTCTCCAGGCTAAACATGCCCAGCTCCCTTAGCCGTTCCTCATAAGGCATCGTTTCCAGGCCTTTGACCATTTTGGTTGCCCTCCTCTGGACACGTTCCAGTTTGTCAGTGTCCTTCTTGAACTGTGGTGCCCAGAACTGGACACAGTACTCCAGGTGAGGTCTGACCAGAGCAGAATACAGTGGCACTATTACTTCCCTTGATCTAGATGCTATACTCCTATTGATGCAGCCCAGAATTGCATTGGCTTTTTTAGCTGCCACGTCACACTGTTGGCTCATGTCAAGTTTGTGGTCAACCAAGACTCCTAGATCCTTTTCACATGTACTGCTCTCAAGCCAGGTGTCCCCCATCTTGTATTTGTGCCTCTCATTTTTTTGCCCAAGTGCAATACTTTACATTTCTCCCTGTTCAAATTCATCTTGTTTGTTTTGGCCCAGTTCTCTAATCTGTCAAGGTCGTTTTGAAGTGTGATCCTGTCCTCTGGGGTGTTAGCCACCCCTCCCAGTTTGGTGTCATCTGCAAATTTGATCAGGATGCCCTTGAGTCCATCATCCAAGTTGTTGATAAAGATGTTGAATAAGACCGGGCCCAAGACAGAACCCTGTGGCACCCCACTAGTCACTCTTCTCCAGGATGAAGAGGAACCATTGATGAGCACCCTTTGGGTTCGGTCAGTCAGCCAGTTACAAATCCACTGAGTGGTAGCATAGTCAAGACTGCATTAAGAGTGTGTAATTTGTGCACACTCTGTTATACATCCCAGGAAAGGAAGGCTGTGTGACTTTGTTGCGTATCACCACCAGGAGGCTAGGCCTAAGCTCACAGAGGCCCCAAACCCCTTCACCTGTTCATTTCAACATGTGGGGAGATTGATGAACAGCCCACAGCCGGGTGAGGCGCATAAGTGGCTAGAATTCAAACCTTACATTCATCAAAATGTCTAAACATGTTAGCATTGTTCACTAAGTGGAAAGCTTCCATTGAATTCTGATCTGAAAATAACTCAAGATTTCATCGATTAAATGTTATGACTTTGGAAGTGCTGAAGAGTGACATGTGGCTCCTCGTGGGCGCAACTAAGGTACTTGTAATACCCGACTCTTTATTTCCACAGTCTTTTTGCCATTCCTTAACGACAAAGGCTTCACAATGTGGCTGTGAAGTTGTGAGGCATTTAGTGTCCTCTTTTCACAATGCAGCCTAGAAAATCTGCGGCAGTACTTATGTCTGAAGTGCTGTTGAATTCAAGAATATCCTGGCAAGATCTATTCATTGTGAATTGGAGCTGCAAAATATGGCCCCTGGTGGGGTGGAAATAACCATGTTTTTCTCCTTATATGACAAAAGAAACCTTGGCAGCAGAAGAGCGGTTGTTGTTTCCCCCCATCTTTCCATGTCATGCTTTAAAGCATATCATGGTAAGTGAAACAGGTCTCTCTCTCTCTCTTTTCCCCGCCTGTGCAAACAGCTGATACAATTAACACGGCCAAGCTTAAGTCATGCTCAAAATCCATTCTTTTAAAAGACAAAAAATAATAATCATCTTAAAGAAAAGGGAAAGGAGAGGAATGCCGCTTGCTTACTTATCTTGCATGCTGGCCTTTGACTGGCTTGCCAGCCATGACCCACTGAAAAAGGGATTCCTGGCATTTTGCATCTTCTTTAGTTCCTTTTTCCCTCTTCCTTTGCATCCCACCACACTGTTTTCCTATTTTGTTTCAGCAGTCTGAGGGCTCGGATATTTCAATCTTCACCCTTCAGACTTAATACATTTTCCAGGCAAAATTTCAAAGCGAATTCCAACGTGATTATGTAAACGCATGCATGTTGTAGATTTACCTCATACAATGCCCGCCTTTGTTATTGTTGTTTTAATTTGCAACAGCTTCTGTATGCTTGGTTTGCTCCTACCAAACAGTAACTTATTACACCCTGCTGTGGTAAGAAGGTACTTTATTTAATCCCGTGGCAGTTGGGAATTCATTGGCAGCGGTGTCTAGCTTTTATTCATAAAAGGAGATTCACAAAAGGAGGATTGGGGGTGGGGAGGGTATAAGATTTTTTATTGTTGTTATTATTTTTAATCATCTAAATCTTCCTGTTGATTAATGCATGCAATTAGCGGCGAGGAGAGTAAGCAGGTTGATATGTTCCAGTCCATCATGGCTGTAAAATTGAACTGTAAGTGGTACCTAGTGCACTCAAGTGAAACAGGCCCCATGCAGCGAGTTAATAGAAATGCAGAGAGCCTTTCTTTTTAACAAAGTACTTCAGCAATTATCTCTGCACACCCATGGTAAAAATGAGATAAAGTTGGCCTGAGTGTTACAAAGGCTGTTTTAGCGGCAAAATAAATTTACTGCCACTGCCAGTCACTTGGAACCTGTCGCTCATTGTTCCGTTCTCTGCACCTATTAGCTAAAAGATGACAAGTGGTGCATGTCAGAACAAACAGCCAGCATGCTTCAAAGATGGCATAGCATTTATTAAGGACTCCATGCTAGGAAGACTGCAAAAGGCTCACAATGAGGTCCGTTTTGAATCAGAGGCTCTTCCTATCGCGCAACTAATGAAACAGTAGTGACGCAGGCATCTGATGTGGTTCTTGCAATATGGAACGCAGGGCTTATTGTGTTGCAATGTGTTTTCCCCTCCAGAAGGGACTCCAGGAAAATATGTTGCTCAGGCTGTAGGAAATCACAGGGTTGTTATCTATGAGTTTTGTTGTTGTTTTTTTTAATTCTTATTTAGAGCTACGCATGCCGGCTGGTGGGGGAAATGTTGGTCACAGACAGGCACTGGGTCCACGACTAAACAAAAGGATTCAATGAACCCAGCTGTGTGTTCAGCAGACAAGATTATTTTATTGGAATACACTAGTACAGAACCATTTCAGGAGTCTGGACTCCTCTTTTCCTCATAATCAACCACTATCTTTGAAGCCTGAATGCTGGATGGAGTCAGGCAGGCCCGGCTCAAGACATTTTGCTGCCCGAGGGCAGGAAATCACACACACATCGCAGAGTCAAGGCACGTAGGGTTGTATCCAGCAAGTCACTCCATTAGCCCAAAGACTCAACTTGTATCATGAAATTTCCCCTCTCTCTCTCCTTTTCCACTGTGTACCCCTCATTAGCTCTAGGGGATTGGGGGGGACCTAGAACATATTGTGGAGGCATAGGAGGGGAAGTTCTATTCCACAAGCGGAAGTCCTTGTGCTAACATAACAGTTTTGCTGGATACATCCCACAGTACTCAAGGCAGAAAATCCCATGACTATCTCTCCCCCTTCCTGGTAGTAAAAATAAAATAACACAATAATAAAATGTTAATGTCCTTTGGGGCATCTGAATGGCCGCTGTGAGAACATGCTGCTGGACTCCATAGCTGGGCCACTGGCCTGATGCAGAAGGTCTTTCCTCTGCCCTGCCCTGCCCAGCCACCTCTCTGCCTTTGTCACTTTTCCAATCTGGTCCCAAGATCAGATTAATGAGGTTGTGAAGCAGTTATTCACCAAATACATGTTCAAGGTTGGTCTCAAGGTGGGCTAACTATTAGCGAAGCCATCTTAATCTGTCATAATTAAATACCCATATAAATAATCATGATCATGATCATGGCCAACATTGGGTAAAAGCTGTCATTCGATTGCCACCCACTGCTTCTCACGCATGGAGATATTCCCATATTTTCACAGCATATACCTGAGTTTTCATTTAGATTTATTGCCCATCATTTGGCCCGGCCGTCATCATTACCAGTGGTAGTGATGACACACTACAATTTTTCTATGTAATTGTAATGGAGTTTGGTGCGGTGGGGAGAGGGTTCTTCCTTATGCAAATACCCTGAAGCAAAGTGAGTGCCTTTCAGTCACTAGAAGAGAAATAATATATTTAGTGACGAATGACTCAGAACTCACCACGGAGAGAACTTTTACCTTTAAATCTGCTGGTAGAGATAAAAGATTTGTTTGTGTTTGATCTTCTCTTATTTAATTACTGGCAAGATGAAGCTTGGTTGAAAAGTGACATCTAAGTTTAGGCGGCAGAATACAGTAGTGGGGAAACTTGGTGGCCCAATGGAGATTTCATCAGCCTTTCATCTCTTCTGATCAAAGCTATCTGCCCTAACCCAGATGATGTAGAATCCAGCTGATCAGACTCCCTGATGAAGGATTTTCTTTTCTTTTATTGTTACCAGGCTTTCTGGGGGAACGTCGCAGCAGGATCTCAAAGCTCTCATTGTTCACTACCTTTTACTAAGCTGGGCTTAAACTATATCAGAGCATGTTCCACATCTAACTCAAAATGCCCAGAGGCAACAGTGGAAAGAAAGCTGGTCTGATGACAAACGACAGTTGGAAGCAGCCGGAAAGAGGGATAGATGCTCTCAGGGCCTGCAGAACCACATTCCACCTTAACATCTGGCAAACAGGTTGTGCAGGGGGCAGGGTGTATTATTTCAAGAACCAACAAACCTTGTTTGACCAGAGGCCATAGCGGGACAAAATAAAATGTGAGTATAGCATGGGAAGCAATGCCTCTTGTGAGATTCTTTCAATTTGTTGTTGTTGTTTAGTCGTTTAGTCGTGTCTGACTCTTTGTGACCCCATGGACCAGAGCACGGCAGGCACTCCTGTCTTCCACTGCCTCCCGCAGTTTGGTCAAACTCATGTTCGTAGCTTCAAGAACACTGTCCAACCATCTCATCCTGTCGTCCCCTTCTCCTTGTGCCCTCCATCTTTCCCAACATCAGGGTCTTTTCCAGGGAGTCTTCTCTTCCCATGAGGTGGCCACAGTATTGGAGCCTCAGCTTCAAGATCTGTCCTTCCAGTGAGCACTCAGGGCTGATTTCCTTAAGAATGGATAGGTTTAATCTTCTTGCAGTCCATGGGACTCTCAACAGTCTCCTCCAGCACCATAATTCAAAAGCATCAATTATTTCAATAATCTCTTTAAAACAAGGGTCTGTCTCCTGCCCCTATTTACCCTTCAACCAACCAGCATTTGCTTCCAAGACTTTATGAAATTCCTGGAGCAGATTAGTATACTGAGGACCAAATTACATGCACATCACAGAAAAAAATCACTTTACCCTGGTTTTATGGGGGGAGAGGAGACTGGTGCTTTTCAAGAAATGCAGCCACGGGAGACAGTCCTGTGTAATGTGCAGTTCATGGTGCAAGGGCCCCTTTGGTCACATCCCCATCCTGGGTGCCCCATTACTGACTGTGCAGTCAGGCTGTTCAGCATTCCTAATGTCCAGCTTCTAGCTGCCAGCATATGGAACGTCCTCAGGGGAGATGGAAGGATTTTGCTTTTTCCAAGGGATGCTCTGCACCTGGCCGGAAGCTCCGGAACCCAGTTGGCAGCCCAGGCAGCTGCTGCGATTACAAAAAGTCAGTATCCCTTGTAATCACATCAGCACGGGGGACACGCTCATAACATAAGCCCAGATTTGTTAGCACTTCCAAGGCATCGAAGGCTGGGGGGAAGCCAGCTGACATCGCACCATTGGACCACATGAGCAACACTGCTTTTGCAGTGGAGACGCCAATGTGGGCCATATCAAGAGAGGCCATAAGGATCTCTCCATAGGTGGAAAATGAAACAGCATCTTGATCAAAAGGCTACCAAGACCTGTGTCCTACTGAAAAAAATGGTCCCCTTCCTGCCCCTTTCATATCAACCCACCTGATGCTAATCATAGCATGCCACTAGCTAAGAGCAGGTCCCCAGAGCACCAATACTCTTGTGGTGGTTCAGTCAAATCAAACCATGCTGCCTACTACAGGGAAATATACACAGCAATCCATCCAGAATCAAAATGATATTAAAATGGAAGATATTTTAGTGTGTGTGTGACTCTATTATTGAAATAAATGTGACCTTGAAATGTTTAATCTTGGTTGGATTGTGCCTCAGGAAACATTAGCCAATCTGGCCTAAGGGGCACCGGCCAGCTTATTGGTCCAGGGAGCGGACCTGAGTGAAGTCTGTATCTCTCAGGTCTGCTCCCCCAAGCAGATAGGCTGAATTTGAATTGAGCACCTTGCGGTGCCCATAATGTTCCATGGCAGTTGGGAAGGTGTGCCAACGGTCCAGGACCAAGATGGTGAGGCACCACAGGCTTGGAGGTGTTGCGACAGGCCTCAACTGCCGCTCACCATGGAAAGAGGTAAGCAGCCGTTACACTAGGGAGTTCTCCTGAGCAAATCCTACTGAGTAGCAAATCCTATTGAGATTAGTTCTCTTGCATAACTCCCATTCATTTCAACAGGAGGCCTGGATGGTGGATTCTCTCATAGTGATCAGCCATGTCTTGAACATGAGCAAATTAGAGATAATAATTTGGGAGTTTCAGGGCCAGAATCAACTGAATACTTGTGCTAGTGGGGGCCAGCACAATGAGTCCTGCTAGTGCAATGTGGCTTTTCCTCATCTCTTCTCCCCATGTGCCCCAAATCAGCTCTGTGGGGTTGGGAGAACATGCAAAACGTCCCAGGTCGCACGTAGAGAGAACCCATCTGAAACCGTGAAGAGCCATTGCTAGTCAGTATAGTCTATATGGAGCTAGATGGTCTGATTCAGTATAAGGGAGCTTCCTATGTTCCTGTGTATAGGAGCATAATTTCCTGCTGGGTTCATGGGACTTGTACCTTTCTATAACATGTAGCAGCTCAGTGCATTGAATTAGGATGCACATCCCAGGCCTCCCAGCAAATCCCATGCCTCTCAGCAAAAAAAGGATGCTCCTCAGTATATATAGGAATATTTAGCCAGTTAAGGAATTTTCTTCACAGGAAAGAAGCTCAGAATGATTTAGCTCTTTTCAAGTATTCTGCAGTATGCTCAGAAAACCCAAACACATTCTGAGACAAGCTTGAAATAATTTGCCCACCATTAGAGCAAATACATCTCTCCTTACTGCCAAAGAAAGTGTATTGGAACAGCCATGCTACCACACTGACTATGTCTCATGATGGCACCTGCCCTAGAGAGAGGGAAATGGACCACTGAGCATATTTACGAGGAGGAAAGCCCTTCCTGATCTGGTGGTCCACAAGCAAGGCTCAGGAGTTCAAATCAGAAAAGAGATTTCATAAATGATTCAGGTTCTCTGTCTTGAAAGCCACCGTTCTTCCACTTTGACACCTGCCAACCTATTAGAAGAGTATTCTTTCACCTTGGATAATGCCAACAAATTCAACTTGGATTTTATCATCAGCGTCAAAAAATTAGTAGCTCTTTTCTGAATGATCAAACTCTGAATATCAATGGCATATCAATGACTATCTAGTTAACTGTTTCCACCAAAAGAGATAACCTCAAAGGAGGTGAGTTACAGTTTTCAAATTAAGCAAACAGTTCCCATTTCACAAATGAGGGTGGAAAGCTGTATTTGCTTCAGCTCCAGCACTAATCTTTGCTTTCATGTGCCTGTAATTGCCACTGAGCTGGTTAAATGCTGTTTCCATGAAGAGCATCAGTGAAGCCAGTGGTTCTCATCATTAGGCAATTTTTGCTAATTGTAGGTTTGTGGCTTCAGTTTGCTCCGTGTGCATAGCTAGCCTCTTCCTCCAAAGGAAAAAGTCTTGTAAAATAAAGAGAAGGTACCTAAAGGGATGCACACATCTATCTATTTCCCAGGCAGCCACCATGCACAACACCTGCATTGCTTCGAATTGTTCTCTTGTACTTGTTGTTTTAATCTGGTTGCAATATGCTGTGCCACTCTAATCAGACTCTCACATTTTTCACAAAATGTCATGTGTGTTTATTATTAGATTAGGCTTAAGAAGGTTTAATTTTAGATCTTGTGATTTAAGTGGTGCAGTGAAGATTAAATGCTAGGCATAATTAAAGATGCTGATGTAGATGGAGTGAATTATAAACCTCATTAAGTGCAATGTCCTAGACAAGTTCAGGAGATAAGCTACAAAGGAACCAACTCCCTCCCTTGATCCTAAAGTTATTAGAAAGTAGATTCAACACACCGAGAGAAAGACGCACATAAATTGAAACGAAATTGATCATTTATAATTTTTATTGAATGGGAGCCAGTTTCTTGTGTAATTGATTCTCTTGCTATTCGCAGACTACAACATTTGCTATTTAAGTGAAATATTTTCTCCCAGACACAGAAGACTATGGTTGCAGAAATTCAGCACAATCCATTGCCCAGATCAGCAGCAGTATTACAGTACAGGGAAGAAGACTTTGAAGAACTTTGGCCCCTCACTTCAGGAAACTGGGACTCAAGTATTCCGCCCAGGCTTTTTTATTGGTATCAGGGGGTGGGAGTGAAGATGGACCCCAAAGAATGTAACAATCTCCAGACCTTGGCTAATAGGTGTAATGAGGGTTTGGCTTACCACTTATGATGAGGATTGTTGTTTGCCTGCTATAAAAATGCTTTGCTTCCACTTCAAAGGCAGGGTACCTTTTCAAAGTTGAAGACAATGTCCCAATGGAACCAACAGTAGTTCATGACATAGCATTCCCAAGGGCACGGGTGTATGGAAGATGGCTGCCCCCATTTCCCAGCCTCCTCATCTTCTGAATCCATATAGAAATCTATACCATATAAAATCTATACCATATAAAATCTATGCCATCTACACAAGTTCACAACATTGAATGAGCAGGTCTGGGTGGGCATAGTTCTCTAATAATATGTGGGCAAAGGAATAAATGCATAGATTTGATTCTTGACATGAATTAGAATCAACTTGATTGCAATAAGCTCCTCAAATGAGCTCTGATCCTAACATTATATTAAGCATGTGAGCACAGGAAACAATATTCCTTCCTCCCCTCCCCTCCCCTCCGACAAATTTGTGAAAACAGGTTGGCTCTGAATTCATTTATATTGCATATGAGCTTTTGCTGCTATAAACCTCATGGAAATGTGCATTTATCTCCCTTTTGCAATCAGGTAATGTCAAAGTCAATAAGAAGCAGTAGCTTGATTGGGGGGAGGAATCTGAAAGAACCGCTACACTTGGAAATTGTACATGGCAATGACTTGATTCATATCCAAGTGATGCAACTGTCAGATTCTTATATCCACTATCAAGATGTCAGATTAATGTTCATCTGGTGGCCTGAAACCATACTGGGGTTGGGAGTAGGCTGTAATCCTTTCTGATGAACCATCTCGTAACTGCTGGTTGCTGAGATTCTTGCAAAGAGGGCTGAATGAAGTAGGTGGGCCTTGATCTGGTTGAGTAAGGTGTACCTGGTGTGCTTAAGCAGTAGGGCATAACTAATCAAGATCACTTAACACAAATTAGTTATGCCTTATGCGCTCTCCCCAAAAAGTGCACTGTGAAGTTTGCCTGTCACTGCCTTGTAGGACAAAATCCACATCCCAGGATTGCATCCTGACTTTCTGTAGTACAAATGGAAACCACTGTGCAGCCCACACCACGACAGAAGAAACGTCTGTGCAATGTTATTGGGTACAAGAGCAAACGCTTCATTTACACAGGAAAGGGGTGTGGAATTAAAAACATGCAATCCAACCAAGCTTTTACTAACTTGATTATGCAGATTTTGGCAGATGGATGCTAAGGGCCTTTCAAACAAACACAGAAGATGTTTTCTAATGATTGGCAGATAGATATCTCGATGTGGGTATCTAACTGGAAAAGCTCTTTGTGGCTACGCAAACAGATTGGGTTTTCTTATCTTTGCTGCCACATTAGATTACTATTGGAGAAGCCTGAAATTGGGACATTTTCTGGAAGGAGACCCAGCGATCCCACTGCATGCATTGAGTTCACCAAGTCATCCTTCATATCCTTTCTTCAATTTAGGGGTGAATTTAAACCAAGTACTTGCTGATTATTATTTTTCACATTTCCAGCAGAGTAGAAAAGTCCTGCTAATATTTTTGGTGATTGCTTTTCAAATGCATGAAAGCATTTGGCTATCCAGCTGTTGTAGTTTTGGGGTGGGAAAGTATTTCCCTTGTACTGAGTTGGCTTTGCCCACAATGATGTCAATCAGAAGACCAAGCCAAATCTGACTGGATCTGTAGCATCTTGGCATCATCCCAGCGATCTTCAATTGGAGATCACTTGTGCGACTAACCAGCAATTAGAAGGAGGGAAATGCTATCAAAGCAACAGCATATAATTGAAACAATGGGAGCAAAGGGTTAAAAAGTGAACATTCTCAGAAGTAGGAATTTGGGGGTGAGAGGATATTTCTTTTTCCTGCCCATCCCCACATAAAGGACATTTTTTCAACCAGGAAATCAAAATGAGAGAACACTAGGACAAGCTCTACTTTTAATGAAAGAAATCAAATAATGTTCAAAAGCAGGAGTGGTTAGCCTGTGGGCCCCCAGAGGCTGTTGGACTCCAACTCCCATCATCTCCAGCCCAGCATCTTGAGGTTCACAGGTTAGCCACACCTGTTCACGAGTGTCAAAAGCTGATGTGGAGAATGTACTAAAACTATTGTTTGAATTTGAATGGGGGGAACCAGCTTTTAATTTGAATGTGCATTTCTGACTTTTGGGAATTAATTCCCACTGGCAGCAATAAATAAATGTTTCATTTATTTTTGATGTTTCACCCTTAATATTGCTTATTATTATTATTATTGTGCAAAATGTAAATTTACTGCATTTGAGCAAAGCAGTTCTTCAGTCGTGTGGTTTGTGCTGAGATACGTCCCTCTGGAATTTAGCCTTTAGTCTCTGGGTTTTTCTGGCTTGCAGACTGCTTATCATCACCTTGGTAACCCTTAATGAAACAGAAATCTCTCCAGTTGTTACCACTCTGCTGTTTGTTGTAGCATAAATCATAGTGAATTAGTGTGGTGCATACTAGATCGTGGCTCTTATGTTTGGATTTCTCGGGCGCTCTCTCTGTCGTCATGTAACCCCTTTCACCAGACTCCTTGGGCAGCCATAAGGGCAAGATTTCAATGTTTAGGGATAGTTAAACCTCCTTCAACACACTGCAGATGCTAGTTTCTTCCCAAGGAATGAATGATAGGCAACCATTTTTCTTTGTAATTGGGCTTGTCCTTCTGAGCTTTCTTTAAAAAAACAAAACAAAACAATCTTTAGAAAACTGGGATTGCATACCTATCAACTGTCTCAGAAAAACTGAGACCTTCCATTTTTCCCTACAAGAACGCAGATGACATTTTGGGCCTTGTGCTCTTGTGTGATTTCAGGCTGAGTTCTTGCCCTGAAAAAAAAGCATTTTATCTGGGTCTGTGATCTGGTGTGGTGCCCCAAAATGCACGGTTTTGGGCCACGTGCCCCCGAAAAGTGCGATCTCAACCTGGTCACGTGACCCACGGGGGATTGTGGACCCAGAAGATGGCATCCCAGTTCAGGGGCCACTTTGCATTGGAGGATATGGGGCTGAAGACTCAGTGGTAGAGCACGTGCTTTGCATGCAGAAGGCCCTAGGTTCAATCGCCAGCATCTCCAGGTATGGCAGGGAAAGAGTTTTGCCTGAAATCCTAGAAATCCCCTGCAAGAGAAGACAATGCCTAGCCAGATTGTCCAATGGTCTGATAAGGCAGTCTCCAATGGTCCTATGAAAGAGCTCTTCCAGCTAAAAATATTGGTGCCCAATGAACTATGGGGAGCTCCCAGGAAGCCATCACCACCACTTCCGCCCTGATTTCTCCAAATTTCACTTACCATTATGATGGGGGAGGGTTACTGTTAGCAGGAAGTCTTGGAAGCAGCAGAGGCTTACAGGGAGGGGTGGTGACAGAGGTCTAAACACTCACACAAAGCATCCATTTATGTGTTGATTCAGCAGAGCATAGGAAATGTAACGCCTAATGCCCCCTGACTCAATTCTTTGACCCAGCACAGATTGAAAACTAAATTTCCCATGCTCTCCGGCAATTAATAATTTGTCTTTTTAAGTACCTAGAGAAAAATGAGCCTCTCATCTCTCTGTTGACAATCCCACCCAACCCCTCACAAGGCTAGGTTTGATGGAAAGGTGGGAGGGGGGCAATTACACAGGCTGGGATGGGCTTGCAATGGACTGAGCTAATCAAATATAGAAAAGGAATAGCTGGCTGTGGTTAACTTCGGCAAACTTAACACAATCAGTGGTGCCCATGTTGTTGGATGCTAACCCAGTAGTTGAAGAACATTTCACAGTGTGCAGGTGTTCCAAACATGCCCTTTTGGTTTCTGTACCAAAATGAAATGTTGCAATTCCTACATGAAAACGACAGAAGAATATTTCTACAATCTGCAGCTAGCACAGGGGCTAGACCACCTGAACACGTCTTATCCCAAATGCTCAGAGAAACACTGCACCAGTGAACCTCCAAGAACTTACAGTGTTTGTGTAGAAACTCTCCACAAGATCAGGATATCCACACTGAACAGCACCTTTTAAACCATAGAGATTCCCCATCATCAAACACAACACAGAGGCATTTTCTCAGATGGACGCCACACTATTTGGGTCATCTATTCCTTAGGGAATAGCAGCTATGGTGCAGAGATCTCTACCCCAGGCAAGGACTAATAGTTTGGGGGCCAGCCCTCCTGCTCAGATGAGGTGATAGCAGAAAGGTGCTAAGAAGAAGGGCCCATGCCAGAGAGGGTTTTGCAGCTTGAGGAGCCAACCCAGGAAGACAACCTTGCCTCAGGCAGATTAAAGAAGGTCAGGTGTCCCCTGAGGAAAACTGCTTCCCCTTTGTCCCAGTGCCTGTTCAGACTCCTCTGACAGCTCTGCTTCCAACACACCTCCTCATTAGAGCCCACAGTACCAAGCTTTATCCAAAGACAAGTTACGGGCATGAGATGCTCTGAACAAGAATAAGAAGATAGATTGCCTTTCCTCCTCTGATGGCTGAAGCAAAACTAATAAGGTTACGTTATATCTGACCTTAATCTACTGAACTGCGCCTCCATTTCTTGAATCCCTGCAGCTAGACATAAATGAGCCCTGCTGAGATACTTAGATTACACAAACTTACACAAACATGTACATCTAATTATGCAGGCACTGTCTTTTTCCATCAGTAGATGGCAGCATTTGGGACCAGTTTTTATTATTTTGTTTTGAAAGCTTATGATCACGTTAGGTTAAAAAAGACTTATATACTGAGGTTTCTTCACCACCAGGATGATGATGGTGATGATGATGATGATTTTATTCACCACCCATAAGTCACAAGTTGTGATTTTAAAGCTCAGTGCATCCCTGACTCAGTAACCAAGAGTGATGAGGTAAGAGATGCTTCTTCTTCTTTCCCTCTACCCAGCTACAGGTGCACAGATGTGTGTGTATGTGTCACTTAGGATTTCCCCCCTTCTCTTTAAAAACATGGGACTGAATTTCAAGGTCTTGGCTCTTTCCCCAGGAGTGGGCAATTCTGAAAGGTGAGTTGCTAAAGAGAAATCTTGTTTTACATCCCATTATGAATTCTGGGAATTCACGGCAAGATCCCCACATCTCACACAGTCTTTCAAGAGACACACATTCAGATGGGATACGGGTGTACCCTGCTTATTAATAGCAGCACTCCAGCTGCCAAGTAAGTTCCCAGACATTCAAAAGGTCGCTGGTAGAAGTTTCTGTAAAATCTTGTGCTTGTCAAATGACATACAGCAGAGCAACATCATTGGGGAATGTTAAGGTTGTTTCATCTCAGGGAGGGAGGAGGGGACCTCAGAATTTTCAATTAGCATCACCATCACCAAGTCATGTGAAAAATAATACAGTGAGACTCAACTTCCTGCCAAGTTTCCCAGACTTTGCCTTTCTCTTGTCATTGCAACACAGTGCTTTCTTTAAGCAAACCTAATGAACTTGCATTCCTCTGCTGGGCCGTTCCCAGCATGGGAGAGATGCTTGGGATTTTGCTGATGAAGTTTCCTTGCTAAGGAAACTGATTTTGGGAACAATGAACAGACAGGGCTCTCCCTCCCATCCCTATTTTGTGTTTTTTTAAAAAAAAAAAAATAGCTGCCATAGTGTTTTACACGTCTGTTTTTATGCCCTCCCACTCACAGTATTTGGTTTGCTACATAAATGAAAGTTTGCATTATCATTTTAAAAAGAGCAGAAAACATAGTAAAAGTCACAATTGCATCACAGACAGACTTGCCTAATGGTAATAAACAAAGCCCAGTTGACGAAAGATCAAGGTAAGGCAAGGCAAGGCACCAATCCAATAGCATTTAAAAGCCCAAAGATGTGAACTTAAAAAAACAAAAACAAAACTGAAATAGTCTGTGGCAGAACGGGAAAGCTAGCAGTGGCTGCACAAGAGCCCAAATCTCATTGACATCAAACTGTGCATAGGATAGGCAGCACCAAGGTTATTGACCAGAAGTGAACAGTAACACTAACTGAAGTGCAGAGCAGCTTTTGAGCAGGATAATAGGGGTCCAGACCAATCCTAGGATTTGTATCTGACTACAGCTAGAAAGTGCATACAAGAAGAAGCCCCAAAAAGCATAATAAAGGGATAATAAGTGGAATACACACAGACATGACTGGGATCCAGGAAGAGCAGTGCACAAGGTTTGTTGGCAAAGCAAAAAAATTCAAGCCACATTTGACACCTTGGTCTGCAGGCTGTCATTATTTTTACCTACCTAAGTCTAAAGACATTTTCTTCTTCTAATTTTCCTAAGCGTGCTTAGACATACAGACATTATAAGGCAGGTAGGTCAAATGTGTACCTTACATGTGCATTTGTTCTGCACAGTTGAGGAAGTCTTTGATGCAAACGTTCAAAACATAAATAAACTAATATGGACAATGATTGTGCAGGATATGCAAATGAGTTAGATTTCTCATGGGCAGACTACAAAGGAGACACTCTCCTTTGTCCAAGGCTACATGCATTAAGAAGATGTGATGGGACCCTCAAATTTCACAAATGGCATCATGCCCATTGGGCCACAATTCAGTTCGTCATTAGGGTAGTTCACAAATAGATGTAGACCACTTGATTTCACATTACTTGGTTAGTAATCAACAGGACTTCATAGCAGGCTGTGGACTGGCTACACTGAAAAGCAATGTCTTTCAGGTGAGATGCAAGTTCTCTCTGTGTTGTTATCCAGTTCTGAGCACCACAATTTTAAAAGGAAGTTGACAAGCTGGAATGCGTGCAGAGGAGGATGACCAAGATAATATAGGGTCTGGAAACCAAGCTTTATGAGGAACAGTCAAGGGAGTTGGGTATGTTTAGCCTGGAAAAAAGGAGACTGAGAGGAGCTATAATAGCCATCTTCAAGTATCTAAAGGGTTGTCACATAGAAGATGACGCAAACTTGTTTTCTCCTGTTCCAGAAGCTAAGACCCGAACCAATGGATCCAAGATACAAAAAAGGAGATTCTGACTAAACATCAGGAAAAACTTTCTGACAGTAAGAGCTGTTCGACAGTGGAATGGACTCCCTTGGAAGTTGATGACCTCTCCTTCCTTGGAGGTGTTTAAGCAGAGGTTGGATGGCCATCTGTCACGTATGAGCTTTTTGAAATTCCTGCATTGCAGGTGGTTGTACCAGATGACACTCATGTCCCTTCCAACTCTACAATTTTATGATTCTGTTGTCGTTATTTTTATTTTTATTTTTATTTATTTTTATTTTTATTTTTATTTTCCCCAGACTAGGACTCAAGACGGCTTTCAGATAAAACAGAAATAGCTTAAAACAGAAAAAATAATAGAAAAGTTATTTGATCTCTGAAGGCTCATTCACATAGAAAACTTATCATTTGACGCTGCAGTCATCAAGAGAACAACATGCATTTTTTAATGATCATGAGTGACAACAAGGATGCATTTGGGAAGTGGTAGCTTCCTGAATAAATTAACA